GCGCGCGCGAATTTGTGCGTGTACATATTATTATTATAATAATATTATATGCCTGCATGTGTTAAGCTGGGCGAGCAGCAAACTAGAAATTCTGCTCAGATTGGGACTGTAAAAATACAAAAGCACACAAAGCATTTTTTTTCCTTTAGAATAAGTTAGTAAGTGTCCTAGTCTAGTTAGCAAAAAGAAAAAAAAAAGAATACCTTTTAACAAAAAGGTTTACTTATGTTCCTTGGCTTGGTGAACCGAAAGGAATATTCATCAGCAAAGAATTAGCTTAGTAGGGTTCGAAAAGAGTGAAGAGATAAAATGTCGCAACAGCTGTCTTTGACACGGCGCAAAGCTAAAGATCTTTGCCAAAAGAGCGTATCTGCGAAAGCCTTTTGCTGCTGATGGATACTAGCTGTAAAGTGGGAAGAGTTGTATTTTTAATAATAGTTAATAGCGTGAGCAAAGCTTCAGCTGCGGGTGTGTACGCATGAGAGGAAAGAGAATAGGTTTTTGGGATCTCTACGTTTAAAATAATGCTTTTGTTCCATAGTTTCAGGTAATTAACTTCGGGCTGAGAGAGGGAGAGAGAGTGTCTTTAAAGCAATATCCAACGTTTACCAATGATGGTTTTGGACCCAAAGCTAGAGTTTTTCAACAGCCTTGTTTTAATCTAGGTGGGTTTTTTTTTACTTCAGATCATTTAGGGGACAGACTTCAAGTTAAGAGAAGCACAAAAACGAAATAATGGACATTTAGAGCAGGGGAAAAGTCAGATTTACAGACAGAAACAACAGAGGGAAATAAAAGAAGCGAGACCACCAGTGGCATCCTTCACCCACCCGCAAAACACACCGCACAGGCCACATCATTATGGATTCAACCAGAGCAATACACACTATAGCCAAGCAGGGCCAGGTAGAGTCTGGCTGAGCCGGTATATCGTATTATAAAACCTCTTCCTCCCCCCCCCCCCTTCCCTCTCCATTTTCTCCAAAAAGAGGTTTCAAGTATTCTCTAAAAGAAGAAGTAACCTTATCTTTGTAATCTTTATAGAAGCAGCGTGGTACGTTGATGTTTTTCTAGAACCTACGTGTCTCTTTCCTGCCCCTCTTCCTACCCCTGGCTGCCGGAGACCTGACAGCACTTCACTTACTTTCTTTCTTAGCTCTTATTCCTGCATACGCCAGGAGAAATACGTTCGAGCAGCATAAACACGAAGCAATGATGTCAAGTAAGGGCCGCAAAATGTCGTCACTTGGTCTGCGGACAGCGAATAGACATCTTGATGCATGTACAAACGAACACATGTGGATAAATAATTCGAAGAATGAAAGAATTAAAATATTGCAGAACGACAGACAGATGTAAATTAAAATATAATAGAAATAACCTTCCATTTCATTGATCCTCGTAGGGAAAATTGATAATATCTAATATCGTAACATATATATCATACATGCATAAATATGGTTCACAAAAACATCGATGCATACAATAATAGTCTATTGCAAGTTCCCACTGTGTAGAGCCGCGTGTGTGTGTGTGTGTGCGTGTATGTGTGTGTGTGTGTGTGTGTGTG